AAGAGAGAAAGAATGAAAGAGAGAAAGAAAGAAAGGAAGAAAGGAAGAAAGGAAGAAAGAAGGAAAGAAAGGAAGAAAGGAAGAAAGGAAGAAAGAAAGAGAGAGAGAAAGAGAGAGAGAGAAAGAGAGAAAGAGAGAAAGAGAGAAAGAATGAAAGAGAGAAAGAAAGAAAGGAAGAAAGGAAGAAAGGAAGAAAGAAGGAAAGAAAGGAAGAAAGGAAGAAAGGAAGAAAGAAAGAGAGAGAGAAAGAGAGAGAGAGAAAGAGAGAAAGAGAGAAAGAGAGAAAGAATGAAAGAGAGAAAGAAAGAAAGGAAGAAAGGAAGAAAGGAAGAAAGAAGGAAAGAAAGGAAGAAAGGAAGAAAGGAAGAAAGAAAGAGAGAGAGAAAGAGAGAGAGAGAAAGAGAGAAAGAGAGAAAGAGAGAAAGAATGAAAGAGAGAAAGAAAGAAAGGAAGAAAGGAAGAAAGGAAGAAAGAAGGAAAGAAAGGAAGAAAGGAAGAAAGGAAGAAAGAAAGAGAGAGAGAAAGAGAGAGAGAGAAAGAGAGAAAGAGAGAAAGAGAGAAAGAATGAAAGAGAGAAAGAAAGAAAGGAAGAAAGGAAGAAAGGAAGAAAGAAGGAAAGAAAGGAAGAAAGGAAGAAAGGAAGAAAGAAAGAGAGAGAGAAAGAGAGAGAGAGAAAGAGAGAAAGAGAGAAAGAGAGAAAGAATGAAAGAGAGAAAGAAAGAAAGGAAGAAAGGAAGAAAGGAAGAAAGAAGGAAAGAAAGGAAGAAAGGAAGAAAGGAAGAAAGAAAGAGAGAGAGAAAGAGAGAGAGAGAAAGAGAGAAAGAGAGAAAGAGAGAAAGAATGAAAGAGAGAAAGAAAGAAAGGAAGAAAGGAAGAAAGGAAGAAAGAAGGAAAGAAAGGAAGAAAGGAAGAAAGGAAGAAAGAAAGAGAGAGAGAAAGAGAGAGAGAGAAAGAGAGAAAGAGAGAAAGAGAGAAAGAATGAAAGAGAGAAAGAAAGAAAGGAAGAAAGGAAGAAAGGAAGAAAGAAGGAAAGAAAGGAAGAAAGGAAGAAAGGAAGAAAGAAAGAGAGAGAGAAAGAGAGAGAGAGAAAGAGAGAAAGAGAGAAAGAGAGAAAGAATGAAAGAGAGAAAGAAAGAAAGGAAGAAAGGAAGAAAGGAAGAAAGAAGGAAAGAAAGGAAGAAAGGAAGAAAGGAAGAAAGAAAGAGAGAGAGAAAGAGAGAGAGAGAAAGAGAGAAAGAGAGAAAGAGAGAAAGAATGAAAGAGAGAAAGAAAGAAAGGAAGAAAGGAAGAAAGGAAGAAAGAAGGAAAGAAAGGAAGAAAGGAAGAAAGGAAGAAAGAAAGAGAGAGAGAAAGAGAGAGAGAGAAAGAGAGAAAGAGAGAAAGAGAGAAAGAATGAAAGAGAGAAAGAAAGAAAGGAAGAAAGGAAGAAAGGAAGAAAGAAGGAAAGAAAGGAAGAAAGGAAGAAAGGAAGAAAGAAAGAGAGAGAGAAAGAGAGAGAGAGAAAGAGAGAAAGAGAGAAAGAGAGAAAGAATGAAAGAGAGAAAGAAAGAAAGGAAGAAAGGAAGAAAGGAAGAAAGAAGGAAAGAAAGGAAGAAAGGAAGAAAGGAAGAAAGAAAGAGAGAGAGAAAGAGAGAGAGAGAAAGAGAGAAAGAGAGAAAGAGAGAAAGAATGAAAGAGAGAAAGAAAGAAAGGAAGAAAGGAAGAAAGGAAGAAAGAAGGAAAGAAAGGAAGAAAGGAAGAAAGGAAGAAAGAAAGAGAGAGAGAAAGAGAGAGAGAGAAAGAGAGAAAGAGAGAAAGAGAGAAAGAATGAAAGAGAGAAAGAAAGAAAGGAAGAAAGGAAGAAAGGAAGAAAGAAGGAAAGAAAGGAAGAAAGGAAGAAAGGAAGAAAGAAAGAGAGAGAGAAAGAGAGAGAGAGAAAGAGAGAAAGAGAGAAAGAGAGAAAGAATGAAAGAGAGAAAGAAAGAAAGGAAGAAAGGAAGAAAGGAAGAAAGAAGGAAAGAAAGGAAGAAAGGAAGAAAGGAAGAAAGAAAGAGAGAGAGAAAGAGAGAGAGAGAAAGAGAGAAAGAGAGAAAGAGAGAAAGAATGAAAGAGAGAAAGAAAGAAAGGAAGAAAGGAAGAAAGGAAGAAAGAAGGAAAGAAAGGAAGAAAGGAAGAAAGGAAGAAAGAAAGAGAGAGAGAAAGAGAGAGAGAGAAAGAGAGAAAGAGAGAAAGAGAGAAAGAATGAAAGAGAGAAAGAAAGAAAGGAAGAAAGGAAGAAAGGAAGAAAGAAGGAAAGAAAGGAAGAAAGGAAGAAAGGAAGAAAGAAAGAGAGAGAGAAAGAGAGAGAGAGAAAGAGAGAAAGAGAGAAAGAGAGAAAGAATGAAAGAGAGAAAGAAAGAAAGGAAGAAAGGAAGAAAGGAAGAAAGAAGGAAAGAAAGGAAGAAAGGAAGAAAGGAAGAAAGAAAGAGAGAGAGAAAGAGAGAGAGAGAAAGAGAGAAAGAGAGAAAGAGAGAAAGAATGAAAGAGAGAAAGAAAGAAAGGAAGAAAGGAAGAAAGGAAGAAAGAAGGAAAGAAAGGAAGAAAGGAAGAAAGGAAGAAAGAAAGAGAGAGAGAAAGAGAGAGAGAGAAAGAGAGAAAGAGAGAAAGAGAGAAAGAATGAAAGAGAGAAAGAAAGAAAGGAAGAAAGGAAGAAAGGAAGAAAGAAGGAAAGAAAGGAAGAAAGGAAGAAAGGAAGAAAGAAAGAGAGAGAGAAAGAGAGAGAGAGAAAGAGAGAAAGAGAGAAAGAGAGAAAGAATGAAAGAGAGAAAGAAAGAAAGGAAGAAAGGAAGAAAGGAAGAAAGAAGGAAAGAAAGGAAGAAAGGAAGAAAGGAAGAAAGAAAGAGAGAGAGAAAGAGAGAGAGAGAAAGAGAGAAAGAGAGAAAGAGAGAAAGAATGAAAGAGAGAAAGAAAGAAAGGAAGAAAGGAAGAAAGGAAGAAAGAAGGAAAGAAAGGAAGAAAGGAAGAAAGGAAGAAAGAAAGAGAGAGAGAAAGAGAGAGAGAGAAAGAGAGAAAGAGAGAAAGAGAGAAAGAATGAAAGAGAGAAAGAAAGAAAGGAAGAAAGGAAGAAAGGAAGAAAGAAGGAAAGAAAGGAAGAAAGGAAGAAAGGAAGAAAGAAAGAGAGAGAGAAAGAGAGAGAGAGAAAGAGAGAAAGAGAGAAAGAGAGAAAGAATGAAAGAGAGAAAGAAAGAAAGGAAGAAAGGAAGAAAGGAAGAAAGAAGGAAAGAAAGGAAGAAAGGAAGAAAGGAAGAAAGAAAGAGAGAGAGAAAGAGAGAGAGAGAAAGAGAGAAAGAGAGAAAGAGAGAAAGAATGAAAGAGAGAAAGAAAGAAAGGAAGAAAGGAAGAAAGGAAGAAAGAAGGAAAGAAAGGAAGAAAGGAAGAAAGGAAGAAAGAAAGAGAGAGAGAAAGAGAGAGAGAGAAAGAGAGAAAGAGAGAAAGAGAGAAAGAATGAAAGAGAGAAAGAAAGAAAGGAAGAAAGGAAGAAAGGAAGAAAGAAGGAAAGAAAGGAAGAAAGGAAGAAAGGAAGAAAGAAAGAGAGAGAGAAAGAGAGAGAGAGAAAGAGAGAAAGAGAGAAAGAGAGAAAGAATGAAAGAGAGAAAGAAAGAAAGGAAGAAAGGAAGAAAGGAAGAAAGAAGGAAAGAAAGGAAGAAAGGAAGAAAGGAAGAAAGAAAGAGAGAGAGAAAGAGAGAGAGAGAAAGAGAGAAAGAGAGAAAGAGAGAAAGAATGAAAGAGAGAAAGAAAGAAAGGAAGAAAGGAAGAAAGGAAGAAAGAAGGAAAGAAAGGAAGAAAGGAAGAAAGGAAGAAAGAAAGAGAGAGAGAAAGAGAGAGAGAGAAAGAGAGAAAGAGAGAAAGAGAGAAAGAATGAAAGAGAGAAAGAAAGAAAGGAAGAAAGGAAGAAAGGAAGAAAGAAGGAAAGAAAGGAAGAAAGGAAGAAAGGAAGAAAGAAAGAGAGAGAGAAAGAGAGAGAGAGAAAGAGAGAAAGAGAGAAAGAGAGAAAGAATGAAAGAGAGAAAGAAAGAAAGGAAGAAAGGAAGAAAGGAAGAAAGAAGGAAAGAAAGGAAGAAAGGAAGAAAGGAAGAAAGAAAGAGAGAGAGAAAGAGAGAGAGAGAAAGAGAGAAAGAGAGAAAGAGAGAAAGAATGAAAGAGAGAAAGAAAGAAAGGAAGAAAGGAAGAAAGGAAGAAAGAAGGAAAGAAAGGAAGAAAGGAAGAAAGGAAGAAAGAAAGAGAGAGAGAAAGAGAGAGAGAGAAAGAGAGAAAGAGAGAAAGAGAGAAAGAATGAAAGAGAGAAAGAAAGAAAGGAAGAAAGGAAGAAAGGAAGAAAGAAGGAAAGAAAGGAAGAAAGGAAGAAAGGAAGAAAGAAAGAGAGAGAGAAAGAGAGAGAGAGAAAGAGAGAAAGAGAGAAAGAGAGAAAGAATGAAAGAGAGAAAGAAAGAAAGGAAGAAAGGAAGAAAGGAAGAAAGAAGGAAAGAAAGGAAGAAAGGAAGAAAGGAAGAAAGAAAGAGAGAGAGAAAGAGAGAGAGAGAAAGAGAGAAAGAGAGAAAGAGAGAAAGAATGAAAGAGAGAAAGAAAGAAAGGAAGAAAGGAAGAAAGGAAGAAAGAAGGAAAGAAAGGAAGAAAGGAAGAAAGGAAGAAAGAAAGAGAGAGAGAAAGAGAGAGAGAGAAAGAGAGAAAGAGAGAAAGAGAGAAAGAATGAAAGAGAGAAAGAAAGAAAGGAAGAAAGGAAGAAAGGAAGAAAGAAGGAAAGAAAGGAAGAAAGGAAGAAAGGAAGAAAGAAAGAGAGAGAGAAAGAGAGAGAGAGAAAGAGAGAAAGAGAGAAAGAGAGAAAGAATGAAAGAGAGAAAGAAAGAAAGGAAGAAAGGAAGAAAGGAAGAAAGAAGGAAAGAAAGGAAGAAAGGAAGAAAGGAAGAAAGAAAGAGAGAGAGAAAGAGAGAGAGAGAAAGAGAGAAAGAGAGAAAGAGAGAAAGAATGAAAGAGAGAAAGAAAGAAAGGAAGAAAGGAAGAAAGGAAGAAAGAAGGAAAGAAAGGAAGAAAGGAAGAAAGGAAGAAAGAAAGAGAGAGAGAAAGAGAGAGAGAGAAAGAGAGAAAGAGAGAAAGAGAGAAAGAATGAAAGAGAGAAAGAAAGAAAGGAAGAAAGGAAGAAAGGAAGAAAGAAGGAAAGAAAGGAAGAAAGGAAGAAAGGAAGAAAGAAAGAGAGAGAGAAAGAGAGAGAGAGAAAGAGAGAAAGAGAGAAAGAGAGAAAGAATGAAAGAGAGAAAGAAAGAAAGGAAGAAAGGAAGAAAGGAAGAAAGAAGGAAAGAAAGGAAGAAAGGAAGAAAGGAAGAAAGAAAGAGAGAGAGAAAGAGAGAGAGAGAAAGAGAGAAAGAGAGAAAGAGAGAAAGAATGAAAGAGAGAAAGAAAGAAAGGAAGAAAGGAAGAAAGGAAGAAAGAAGGAAAGAAAGGAAGAAAGGAAGAAAGGAAGAAAGAAAGAGAGAGAGAAAGAGAGAGAGAGAAAGAGAGAAAGAGAGAAAGAGAGAAAGAATGAAAGAGAGAAAGAAAGAAAGGAAGAAAGGAAGAAAGGAAGAAAGAAGGAAAGAAAGGAAGAAAGGAAGAAAGGAAGAAAGAAAGAGAGAGAGAAAGAGAGAGAGAGAAAGAGAGAAAGAGAGAAAGAGAGAAAGAATGAAAGAGAGAAAGAAAGAAAGGAAGAAAGGAAGAAAGGAAGAAAGAAGGAAAGAAAGGAAGAAAGGAAGAAAGGAAGAAAGAAAGAGAGAGAGAAAGAGAGAGAGAGAAAGAGAGAAAGAGAGAAAGAGAGAAAGAATGAAAGAGAGAAAGAAAGAAAGGAAGAAAGGAAGAAAGGAAGAAAGAAGGAAAGAAAGGAAGAAAGGAAGAAAGGAAGAAAGAAAGAGAGAGAGAAAGAGAGAGAGAGAAAGAGAGAAAGAGAGAAAGAGAGAAAGAATGAAAGAGAGAAAGAAAGAAAGGAAGAAAGGAAGAAAGGAAGAAAGAAGGAAAGAAAGGAAGAAAGGAAGAAAGGAAGAAAGAAAGAGAGAGAGAAAGAGAGAGAGAGAAAGAGAGAAAGAGAGAAAGAGAGAAAGAATGAAAGAGAGAAAGAAAGAAAGGAAGAAAGGAAGAAAGGAAGAAAGAAGGAAAGAAAGGAAGAAAGGAAGAAAGGAAGAAAGAAAGAGAGAGAGAAAGAGAGAGAGAGAAAGAAAGAGAGAGAAAGAGAAAAGAGAGAAAGAGAGAGAAAGAAAAAAGAGAGAGCGACAGGGAGAAAGAAAATAGAATAATTCCCAAAAACGAAAGCGCGAACGGGACGAGATTACCCATGCGAGGCGCTTCCCAGAATGATACAGATATTAAACTTACTTACAGTTTATATCCGTCGTGAAACAAGATAAAAGCGAGAAAACGAATACCGCGAATTTCTGATGTGGCTGCTAATCCTACCATCTGTCCCGTATAAAAACTGATGCACCCGGCAACAAATTTATTCATAGATCGTTCAGGCCGGGGTGGTCAATATCATCACCTCCTGAGTTTCGCGGTGGAGCGAAAGAGCTGAGCGGTTTAAAATTCTTCAGCTATTCTACGAGCAAGGCCAATTCGGCCAGAACCACTTCTAACGATCCTTAGAACTAAGACTTTTTTATTTATAGACGGCCTGGTTCCACTGGTCAGTTCTAGCAAATGGTAAGCTCTTTGAGATGAAAGAAAAGTAAAATTACTAAAATTGCAGTCAGGGATGGACATGAGCTAAGAATAAGGGATAAATTAAAGTTGCTTTAAGTTACAGCGAAGTAAATGTTTAAATCAGAGCATTTTCCAAAAAGGACACTCCCGTGAGTCACGTATATCATGAGGTCAGGCAGACAGATACGTAGTCTTAGGTGTTTTTGAGGACGTATTATTTTCAGTGCCCCTCGCTAAAACCGCGGAGTATGTCACTAAGCTGTAATGCGATGATATAGAACGTGACTTAGAGACTACTGATCATGACATCAAGAACGTCAAATTTCGCCCCTCAAACAATTAGAATTTAATTTTACACTTTAATGCTATTTTTTGCCACATACCCTGGCTACTAGAACAAGACACGGAGCACGTATTACATATGCTGGCCAGCTATCCTACGCCTAGTTCTCAACAAACAACGAAAAAAGTCACGTTTCTGTGATTATGGTAAATCAATGTTACTTCCCTGTTTGTCCAAATGAAATAAATAAAAGTTTTAGCAGTTTTGACAAATAACACGTCCGGACTATGAAAAATCAGTCCTGTCCGATTGCTTAGTGGTTCAAAATGGAAGTTTCTTTTATGTTGGAATTTAAGAGAAAATTTACTCTTTGGCTTGTAAGAGGTCACACTACCTTGCCTCTTTTAATTCAAAAATCTTAAACCATCAAAAGAAGCCAAAGAAGTAAAATTAAATGTTCTGCATTTATCTGATGGAAGAAATCAAGTAAAACAAAGTCACTTG